CAATTTTTATAGGTTTTCGCCTATGTCCAATCCAATGGTGGCGTCATGCATTATTAGTTCTCGCTCTCTTGCACTCACTCCTCTCAATGCATGCTTTTGGTTTTTTATCTTATCTAACTCAGCATTCCTTTCTTTTTCAAGGTATGTTATTTTAGCGATTGTATTGGACTCTAAGGGATGGGATTTCTTTTCCTTGCACTCTTGTTTTTATTATCTCTGGTATGGAATATTTAGGAAAGAAGCTACAAATTTAAGAAAAACCAAAACTTTTGGACTGTATCTACTTCATTTCTCCAAATATTCATATCTTTAGTACTAAAAATCTCAATTAGGTCACAGTGTCATTTTCCCTTGATCAAACTGCTACCGGATTCGGGAAGAAAAGTCATCGTTTTAGCTATTTTGTTTTTGTGACCTTTTGTATCACAGTCTATCATTACATTTCAGAACATATGTTTTTTTTTCTTGTAAAGAACGTCTATTCTTCTCTCTCTCTTACCAGAAAAGGAAAATATTGTATATTCCTCCCCCTGTTTATTTCTTCAGTCATATTCGCTTTAATTTCAATACAATGGAGACGTTAACTTCTGACAATGGAAATTACAATTTTCGAAACGCCGACAATATTTTTATACAAAACGTTTTAATTTAAATCTTAAATAAATATGAATTTAAAATCAGGTGCTGTTACCATTTTATCAATTCTAAAATATTTACCCCTGAACAAATATGATGTTTTGAATAAATGTGTTTGCTTCATAGGTCTATTTCAGCGTTTTCCTGCACAACTTGTAATATGACCAATTACACGTTTCAATTGATAGTTGACTGTAGCCGTTGAATTACTTTCATCTTGAAGAATGACGAGTGCTGATTGCAGGACTTGTAATTGTGTTTGTAATTCAGATAGTTGTGAGTCCAAAGTTGATTTTTGACCTTGAAGAGATGACAATTGTTGACGGTAACTATCGACGTGTTGCTGGGCATTTTGTACTAGTTGTTCAGCACCGGCACGTGCATCTTTAGCACTATCAATACCACCTTCATTGACTACACGACATATTGG